AGTAAACTTTTTTTTATGAAGTGTGATATGAGAGCTGTGTTCCGATAAGATGAGTTGTCGCACCTGTGAACGGACAGGTCCTCCCCCTGAGCTCACTTCCTACTCTACAGACAGTAAACGCGCTTGCTGGACGCTGGACACTGGACCATTTTAACCGCTTTCCTGCACCAATAGTTTCATTGGTTGATCCGTTAAAGCTACCTATAATAGAAAAGGCTAATCTAAATTACGAGTCAGCCCATGTTCTTCACAGGACAGGCAGCTTTTTAATGCTGGAAACGGTCTAAGGTGACACAGGACACACCCATGCGCACTGTTCAGCAGCCCTGCAACGTAGGCTTCAAAGGCCTCAAGACTGAAGTCTAGATGCAGAGGAAGTAAAAGAGTTATCAGGAGTGAAAAGACACAGGTCAGCACGCAGACACCATCATATTGTACTGTCACTGCATGGTTCTACAGTATAATGTATGATACTGTGCACTGCAGTCACTACATGTATGTAAATGAGAACAGGTCCTGTTCAAAACACAGAATCAGTCCTATTGTGTTCAGTAAATTCCTTTCACTTTGATACTTTTACAGACACCTGTGATTGGACTGTCTGTGTGTGGATCTGTGGATGTCTATACTGTTGTTTGAGCAAGTCCATTTCAAGACCAAACGCTGTTAAAGTAATGATTAGCGTGTTGTTTGTATTTTGAGATGATACATAGAGTATCGATGCTGTATACACAGGTTTACATGAGGGATGCACCAGTTCAGCTTTTCCTTTACTTGCTCCAAAATCTCAGCTGGGAGAATCCACCGGTTCCAGTCCGATATCAGTACTGCCTTCTCCCCACATTTAAAATCTGTATATCTCACTGTGTGAAATGCACTGGGGTCATTTTTTGTAGGGTAACACAAGGTCAGAGAAAAGTAGTTAAGTATGCAGTTGACATGAAAGGATGAATGTAACTGACAGAAACTCTTTCATAATAAAGATGACATAGAAGCTACTATATATTTAATGTGAGTCTCAGTTACGTTAGAGCTGATATTTCATTCATTCAGTATAGTCAGTACTGGTACCAATAACAGATTCAGTGTATCAGATCGGTGCATCCCTACATCACAGTCTCATGACACTTTGTGAGTGTGTGTGTGAGTTAGGCCTGGGCAATATAGCTGAAACATATATGGATTAAAATGTTTTCTGAAATCAATATAATTTAATATGACAAATGTATGAAAATATTAAATTTATTTCATGTTTAGTGCAATGTCTGTGCTCCACTGTTCAGAGACAACTAACAAACATCAAAACACTTGAACCTTAATCGACAAAACAGAATGCACTTGTTCCAGAGCTCTGGACTGTATCGTGCAACCTAATTGGCAGATTGTGTTTGCTCATTTGTCGGTTTGAGCAGGTTGGAGTTGACGTTGTTTTGTCAACTGCTGTTTCCACAGTCAATAGTAACTTGTAAAACTCAAATCCTCAGTAAATCACTTTATTAGTTTGCACATACATTTTGTGTTAATTAAGTGTTTTGAAAAATGATAACATGATGTAACTCACAATGATTTCACTGAAAGTCAATAGACAACGTTATCCAGTTGTTGCCTGTCACTGCTGTATATATTCAGTCAGTCGAGGTCCCGTGTGGGAGATTTACCAGCAGCTGAGATACCAAATTGCTGACTCTCATCCTATTTAACACAGATGCAGCGTGTGCAGCCATTTCAATGTCAAAGAGCTCTCAAACGCTGAACTTGCAGAAAGCTGGAGAATTAAATGTCTGCAGGAAAGGAAGGAAACACCTGTTTCACTATCACAAGGAAATATGTTCCTATGCCGATGGCAGTGTACCAATAACATCTTCCAGTACACTAAAGATCATTTATTTTTCCTGGCCTGAGTTGTCAGCAGCTCTCACAGCCTCACTGAGTCATGCATACACAGCATTCAGGACCCCTGTATTTCCATTACTTAGCCCTCCCTACTGATCCCGTCATTTCTACGTCAGAACAAGAGGACCGGAGGTAAATTGCAGTGTGTGTTTTATATGAGGGATTGAATTAATTAATTGGCACGTATAACATGCTTGAAACACTTGGTGCCTTAAATCATAAACAAAAAGTGCATCATGAAGTGTCCTGAGTGTTTTGTCCCTAAAATAGAGCAGCAGATGCTGGAAGTGGATGCAGGAGATTGTAACACATACAAATTGTACAGGGCAAACTTTTTAATGGGGACTTTGTTGTGGTTCATGAGATACATTTTCATCATCAAGAGGGTCGAAAACTGTCAGGAATTAGTGAAGCTTGCAGGCGTGTTCACAGGGCTGAAAATCCAGTTATTCATGCAGTAACTCAAAATGAAAAAGGGCGTTGTGTGGAGATACTATGGTACAATAAATTTACACTTTAGACCAGGGTACAGAAAGACTTGGCAAACAATTTTAAATGAGTTTGAACAGTGTATTTGTGGCTAACACTCTGGGTCATAAGCCAGGGTTTTTAACCACTTTAGTATTAGAATTTAAACAAGTCTGAACATGCAAAGAAAATGGTAGAACCTGCTTCTTGTTCTCATTTGGTGTACCTGATAAAATTGGGTTTGCATTTCAAACGGCTATAATCAATATTTTGATAATAACAATCAAACAGCAACAGGAAAGAGCTCGCTAAAGCTCTCGGAACCCATTTTACACTATGTATGTGCTCTGCACCAAACAACAGACAGACACAGCGGAGCATGTAGCAGCTAAAGAGCCACATTTCTCCATCAAGAGTTAAAGACAAAAACCGAACTGAAAGAGTAAATATTAGATTTACAGTAAAGTACTTTTACTGCTGTAAGTCGACACATACACAGCTGTAAATGAATAATGTTGATAATGCTCCATAACTGCTAGCTAGATGTGTAATAAGCAACTGTTTTGCTAACAAGGTTTCTATATAAATTTAAAAGCATGAACTGTTTTGCTAACAAGGTTTCTATATCAATTTAAAAGCATGATTAATTAATCGAAATGTGTTTCCACTTGCAGGTTGAACACACCCAGGGACAGAATAAAATGAACAGTGACAAGTACAATTCACAAAATATGGCCTCACAAATTAGCAGAGCTAAATCATCATTTTCTGACAGTGTCAACAAAAAGTGAACATTATACACTTTCCAACATCCGTTTGCCTTTTATACAGTTCATGCTGTGACTCTTACCTGTACTGTCACTGTTACCTTGACCGTTTTAGTGCCACTTGTTTGATGTTGAGACATTGCTCTCAGCTGTACTGTTTCTCAGGTTCATGTTTGTCATGTTAAGACTTGTGTACACCAAACACTGCACTTGCTGTTTTCTCTCAACCTGTTCTGCTTGCTTTCTTTCTTACTCCAGTTGCTCAAAACATAGCACTCTCAGTGCTACAGATTAACTAATTCATCCACAGATATAGCCAGATGCATCACTGTAACAATGAAAAGGATACGCTGGTGTTGACGGTGGTTTTAAAAAGACTTTTATTTTGACCATGTAGCGCTGCTCACGCAAACCTGAGTTAGCTTGACACAGTGTCCCAGAGCTAGGGTAGAGCCTGAGGTACACAACATTAGAAACATGATCATATATTGACAGAAACATTCAAAGCAAACATTACATTCACTCTCTCTTTACTCAACCGCTTTTCATGTATGCCAATATCAGAGGTGAAATTCCTGTCCATTGTAATTTTTTAGACAATGCAAACTAAACTCTGTAATACTGGATAAGGCTGGGAGGTGGGAGGAGATCAACTGCTGAAACAGACACCGGTGTGGCAGGAAGGGTGTCGCATGTTGTATAACAAACATTTAGACAGAATGATTTTAAAATTAACTGTGTTACAGCTAGGGCTTTGCTGTCATGTGTTTGATGTGTGAACATAAATCTACTTCTGTGTCTGCCTAAACTTTTACATTAGCTGGTGTTTTTTTTTTTTGTTTTTTTTATTGTTGCCTATATTAAACTCAAAAGATTAATATACCTACCTGTAAAATCCATTAATCTCTTAGACAGCATTCATTCTCTTCCCAGAAGGCTTTCAGTGTCAAGGTATTTACCAGAGACACATTACGCTGAGTGTTTTTTTTTTTTTTTTTATGAAGTTGTTGCTCCTTGTACCTGCTGTTTTGCGCTAGCATTAAACTACTGTACCTGTTACAACAATAACGGACATCCTCGGTGGTAGTGTGATTTCACAGTTGTTTGTACTGAACAAAAGAGGCATGGACCAGAAGAAAACGATCTCCCTCTTCATGCCAAGAGTTGGCACATTAACAAGTATAGTGTAGCAGGTGTGCTTAAAGGCAGTACAGCACAGCTACAATACATCTTTGTGTGATAGCATTGATCAGTCTTAAATTAGTACAGTGTGGCTGTTTTCTAGTTAGAATATTTTTGTGGCTCATAATCTTTTTTCACTATATTGGGGGGTCATCTCTGTTGCAGTTTATCCTACAGGGATGTGTTCCAGTCGGGGTGTATGCAGTGGCAATAACCGCCCCAACAGATCCCCCACATCTGATGGCAATGGGTTAGGGGCCCATTATGCCCTGTGTGCCCTGGGAGTCGGACTAATCGCCCTGGGTATCGTCATGATCGTGTGGACTGTGATACCCGTGGATGGAGGAGCCTCAGACGTCTCCAGTTCTTCATCAGGCAACTCTACCTCAGGGCCTGGGAACGGGGGCAATAATGGGAAGCAACCAGATAGCATGAAGTCTTCATCAGTGGCTATGGTGTTGGTTGGAGTTGGAGCAGTCATGCTGCTGTTGTCTATTTTTCTTGGTGTGAGGAGCAAAAGAAGAGCACGCAGCAGTAGAAACCAACCAGTGGCAGCCCCCCTCATGGACCAGGCGGCCAGGCCGCAGGAAGAGCCGTGAGTGGTTTACAGCTTTTCTTCTGTTTAATACTTTGATTTTGATTTTCCTTACATGGTCTCAGAACTTCCAGTGTTATGCATATTTGGACTGTATGGTTCACACATGTCCAGGTATTGTTGCTGCTACAGCTTTCCTCAAGTGGACAAAAAAAAAATCAATCACCATACAACTGTTTTCCCATGTGCTTTGTTTTATACGATGCTTTCTCACCTCTTATATCATTATTTGCCAGAGCTGCAGACCCAACTATGTACACCGTGCCGAGCTATGAGGAGGTCATTGGCAGTGACACCTACCCCGTTCGTCAGAGCAACCTTCGCCAGAGCACCTCCCAGCTGCCGTCCTATGAGGACATCATAGCAGCTGTGGAAAATGAGAGAACTGAGGACAGTCCTCCTAATGATCCCACCCCAGCTCCCGTCCAATCTGCCGCTGAGCCCCAGGCTGGCCCTCCTGGCCTTACATCAAACCCCAGCCTGCCCGTGCGCAGCAGCAGCCGGGCCAGCCGTTTACTGCAGTCCCTCCGGGTAAGAAGAATCAAATCGGACAGACTGCACCTGAAGGATTTCCGCCTCCAAATACGCAGCCCCACACAGAATCCGGTGACCATTGAACCTATCACTCCACCACCGCAGTATGAACATAAGATGCCAGAACTACAGTAGGGTCTCTCCTTATGCTTCCCTTATTGCCTGTTCCTGATGAATAAAATATCTCTGGATTTAATTAACTAATTTCTGAAAACCCATTTTCAAGATTGGTATGAAGTAAGTTAAAGGAGCCCATGCAGACACTCTTGTGAAATGAGAATATTTCAAGTAAAGATTTAACGTTGAAGCTTTTGATTGGCGTATTTATTTTGTTATAATGCATGATGCATACGTTTGTGTTAAGGGATGAGCTTTAACAGTTGAGAATCATGCTCTAACTAATGCCAAACATAAGACAGTCTTATTTTAAAGCCAATTATGTTTTTGCCAATTGTGTTTTTGTATTTTGATTCTTGTGAAAAATTTGAATCAGAAGTTATGGTTTCAAAGGGGAAAGTAATTACTTGAAATATTTTTAGACACATAAAATACACTAAGGCCACGAGTGTGTGATTTCTGTATGCTGTTTTTAAACATCTTAAAGAAGCCAGGTTCAATTCTCTGTTTGATACAAATATTAAGAGATGGACAAAATTTGTATTGGACAGTAAATCCAGAAATTCTTCTATGGGATGTGATATTAATGATTAAATATGACCTGTTAGTGTTTAAATGTCAAAATCCCTTTAACTGCATTTGAATATTTGTTGTTTTTTTTTTTTGCTATTTTATTTAGGACCATATCAAGATTTTTATATTTTTGTTGCCCATTGAAAATGACTTCAACTTCAGTGTACGTGGGACCACTGAAACACAAGCTATTGCTCCATGTTCTGATGAGTTTTATTTGCTTGCTGTAAGTTTAATTAAATGTGTTTATTTTGAAAAAGATAAATATTGCCTCTGTACATTCCTAGTTAATAAAATCTGAGACGTTTAATTTGTTCTATGTGTCACCATGACAAACTCGACCTGTGTGTCTTTGTGCTTTTGCATACGCTTCCAGGTTTTCAGTGATCATTGGTAAATATGCAGCGCCCTCCTGTGGTTGTAAAAGATTAAAGCGAGGTGAGTAGAGGACTGTTGGGGTTTTACAGTATACTGAACTGCTTGTTTTCTAAGAGTAGAACAAGAAAAGAGCAGTGCCAAATATGAGTGAGGGGAGGTGGTGTCAAAGTGAGAACCACTGTGAACAATGCAGATGTACCTTTCAATGAATTTCAGACTTTCCATTTGCTTGTTGTATTATATGATTAATATTAGTGTGGATTTGACATTTCAGTTTTTAAACAGTTTTAAAACTCAGAAGTGCATAGAGGTTCATTAAATAGCTATGTAAGGTGTTTAAAAGTACCCTAAAGTTTGTACAGTACTTGAATAAATGTTTTAGTTCCACTGCATTAACCAACGGTTTCGCTCGTTTCAGGTTGAGCTTCGTTGGCGCATATATACACCAGGGTTTCTAGGTAATCTTGTTTTAAATGTTTAAGAAAACGTTCCAGCTAAAGAAAGACAATCTGTGAGTCTTAAACATTTGAAGTAGCAAAGTTTTTTTTTTTTTTTTTGTATTTCCAGGTATTAACTATATCTTCAGCTCCACCCTCACCTCCATTCATAAGGGGTTTTGTTTTTTTCCCTTCTTCTTTTCTATGTGCAGCTGCCATGTAGCAGAGGGAGGAACAGCTGGCTGAGGGAAGAGCCAGCCCGGGGAGTCAGTCACATTCCAACAAAGACACAGACACACACAGAGAGAGAGAGAGAGAGAGAGAGAGAGAGAGAGAGAGAGAGAGAGAGAGAGACTCGCACACTTGGTGAGAGGGGAGACAGACTGAGGGTACGCTAGACTAAGCAGACGAGGCATATTTCAGGCGCACATTAGGAGTGCGTAAAACCGCAGGAGCGCATAGAAACATCGTAACCGGTGATTGTGCGTTGGATAATAGGAGCTTTGAGTCTCGGAGTTGTCGACTTTAATTGCGTCTGCTTATAGGAACTGGCCCTATGAATTCAGCAGCCTTGAGTTTTCTGAATGGACGCGCTGGGAAGCTTCTCCGGTGACATGGAAATGAGCGTTATTGAGCGTGTGGCCGGATGCTGAGGACGCCCAATCCGATAAATCAATTTCAGCCTTCATTTTGAGTTTTGAATTCAGTTTTTTACACCGGCTACGACATGGAGGGCACAAGCTTTCACCCCCATCCCGGACTTCAACAAACTCTGAAGCAGTTTCATCTGAGTTCCAGGCGCTCTCTCGGTGGACCGGCAGCGTTCTCCGCTCGGTTGTACCAGGACTCACTCTTCGCTAAAGATGGAAAAATCCGCCGAGATTATGCTTCCCCTGCCGGCCCAGACACCCCCAGTGATGTCCGGTCCACTCTTCATCCCGTCCGACCGCTCTACGGAGAGGTGCGAGACGGTCCTGGAGCGAGAGCCCATCTCTTGCTTTGTGGTCGGCGGCGAGAAGCGGCTGTGTCTGCCACAGATTCTCAACAGTGTTCTGAGAGATTTCTCTCTCCAGCAGATCAACTCAGTGTGTGACGACCTGCACATCTACTGCTCGCGGTGCACGGCGGACCAGCTGGAGATCCTCAAAGTGGTGGGTATTCTGCCTTTCTCGGCTCCGTCCTGCGGGCTGATCACTCAGACTGATGCTGAGCGCCTCTGCAACGCTCTCATCTACGGCGGCACTTACCCTCCACACTGTAGCAAGGAGTTGGGCTCCCTGGAGTTGGAGCGAACCGAGAAGAGCTTCAAAGTGTATCATGAATGTTTTGGCCGGTGTAAAGGTTTGTTTGTCCCGGAACTGTACGCTGGCCCGAGCGCCGCCTGCATCCAGTGCATGGACTGCAGGCTCATGTTCCCACCTCAAAAGTTTGTGGTTCACAGTCACAAGAGACTCGAAAACCGGACAGTCCACTGGGGGTTCGACTCTGCGAACTGGCGGGCCTATGTGCTTTTAGACCCGGACTACACCGGAAAAGAGGAGAAGAGTCATCTGGAGCAGCTGCTTAAAGAATTAAAAGGCAAATATGATGTGACGGGAAAGCTGCCCAGTAAATCTTGCAGAGTAAGTCTGTTCTCTTTCAACTTATTATTAAGTGTTTTTGAGGAAGACTACAATGTTTTGTTTGTGTATATGGATATCTCAACAACCTCAGGGCTACTATAGCATCTGCATTAACATTCATTTTGACAAGGCTGCCTTCTCAATCGGCCTGTTTACTTGGATTGATAGTTTGTATCTGTTGCGAGTGGTAGGAAACTTCAACAGGGATCAAACGCAAATAACAATGTATTACATCTTTCTGTATGTCCCCTCCTATCCTGCAATGTGAAACATAAACCCACACTCACCTCATAGGTGTCTGAAAAGGGGAATGGTGAAACGGTGAAGCTGACACCCTTGAGCATCCCTCCCATCCTTTAACCCCCACCCACCTCTCCGGGGTTATCCAGGGCCATCTTCATTATGATAAATGGAGTCTCGATGATATATTTTATTAGAGGGAGAGAGGAGAAGGGGGCAGGGAGCCCATTATGGTGCCAGGAGGTGGAGAAGGGGCTAAGAGTTTAATGAGGTTTGGGATATGGAAATGTGCTTGCATGTGTGTGTGTTTGTGTATGTGCATACTTTACTCGTTTCTTGCGTGGGTCAGTGATGCTTTGTCTGGACAATGAGCCAGGAGAAGAGGTGGACGTTCTTTCGTCACAGAGCAGCTGCTGTGTGGGACTCTGCTAATGAGTAGACATCTCTGTATACATCACCATGGTGCTGCTCCAATTTCTGAGCAGGAGTCAGGAGATGTCTCATAGGGAAACATCAGTACGCTCTTGTTCAAAAGATTAAAAAAAAGTTACGAGGCAATTGCATCTTTTGTGCTTTGTTTTTATTTTGTTTATATTCCTCAAGAATCGAATGCTCTTGGCAAAATCTTAACAATCTGTGCGGTCTAAAGTCTTTCTGTGTGTGAATGATATGCACAGGGCCTGAGCATCATAGAGGGAGTGTGGCAGAGGGGGCAGTGCATGGTTGCTGTGGTTCAGTGTCAGTCGTGTCCCAGTTAGCAGACAGGCCTGGTCCTCAGGGAGCTGCACACCAGCTCGCTCCCATATCCCATACATCAGCCTGACAGGCCAAGCTGCTGAAAGGCCGGACAGAGGCTCACAGATCACGCTTGGCTCAGCTTACCCATGAAACAAAAACTCAGTGTAATCAGTCTGCCTCAGCCTCCCTCTGATGTCAGTGTTATATTAGTAAGAGAGAGCCTGAAGGTTACCCTCTTCGCCTGTATCATCCGTCTAGACTCCCATCTCACCGAATATACCCGGTGGTTGTTGCAGATACAGCACGGCATGACGAAGCTGTGGCAAAAATAATTGTTGATGGAGCATGCGTTTTACTGTGAATGGTTTGGAATTTTATTTAGGTGTAATTTACAATGATTACAGTTTTTACTGATAAGCTGTGAAAGAAGAAAGTAAAACAAGTCAGTTTTGGAAAAAGCACAGCCTCCTTTCAAAAGCAGAAGCAGAATCAGAGGAGGCAATGAGACCAGTGCACCATTGTGTCTGTTTTGCATCAAATCCAGCATTTGGTCATTTAGCCCTTTGCCTAATGTGCAGATGAGGGCAGATTGCTGAGAGGAGGCTGCAGACTCGGTCATTCAGAAGATGGAGGGTGTGTGAGCCAGGCCTTGACATGTGTTGTCAAAGGGCCATAACCCCTGACCTTTTCCCAAAGACACTGACCCAGGGCCCCATTCTTTTCACACCATCCAATCACATGTCCTTGTGTCCAGTCCATTGGCCAGATGGCTGTCTGATAATGGACGAAGGGACAGCGGACAGGTAACAAACATTACCTTCAGCTGCAGATTGATTTCCAATGCATCATTTTTGTGCTATTTGTTTTCATTATATCAACGGACACACTACTAAAAATACAAATTTTTTATCAAAATTCGAATATTGAATTAAAATAAGTCGCTCTTTTGTGCTGAACCTTGCGTGTAATGATTCAAATGTACTTCTGAGCATTAACTGTAAAAAAAAAAAAAAAAAAAAGCGATCAATCATCTGACTGAGTGGAGAGTAAAAGGGCACTCTGGAGAACCGTGTAGACCCTCCTTAATGGAATGGATATTAAAGCCATTCAGCTGAGGCCAATTTATGCCATTTCTCAACACATTGTTCACCTCCCTCAGTGAAATTAGCCACAAATCTGGAGCAAACCCACTGTCTGTGTTGAAGAATAGAGGATTGTGGGGTTTTTTTTACTGTTGGCTGTTTTTACAAATGAATGAATAAATGAAAATTATCTCGCTACATCTTTCTTTATCAGGTAGCTGCATGTATTTGTAAATAGGTTTCTTTATGTGTAGTGATTATACAAGTGTGTTAGCATATAAACAGACTAGTGGGATGACTGGATCAGCTGTGAAGTCCAGATTAAAATTAACTTGCTGCTGGCTCATTTCCATTCCCATCTGTCTGCTGACCTCTGCGAAGCCCTGAAAGTTGACATGGCACGTATCATTGGTCCTTGATGGGCCCGTGTGCCCATCTTTGACCCAACCAGCTAAGACTCAACCCACCCACTTTACCCAGATAAACAATCAAATCAGTCTCATTTGGCTCAGATTTAGCAGATTTTTAAATCTTGCTCCCAGTGCACCAAATTGATGTTTTTGTTGTTTGTGGCTTCCTTTTCTCATACTTATCTCCCCGCCCACTCACATCGCCCAACACCCCACTGTGCAACCCCCCACCACAGAAGACCGTCACCTCAACTGCTGGACAGAGCGTTTTGGCTGAAGCGAAGGCAAAGGGGTGTCACGAGTTCCCGAGGGTTGTGGCCTCCATTCAGGCAGGGCTGACCCCCATGTTAAAAGGGTGTCAGCTGGGCTTCTGTCTCGGGTGATGTGCGTTAAAGACCTGCCGCCTCCTTTGTCTGAAGATCGAGCTTTCAAAGACTGTGAAGTGCAGCCATTTCTCTTTGTTAGTGCCTTGTTTCTTTAGATACTGTGTGGATAGGTCTGTAACCTTCAGTCTCTCCCAGGGTGGGAAATCCATGTCTGTGAGTTTGCCCTGTCACTGGTTTCCTGGCTGTGTCGTTCTCAAAGACAGATCAGAGCCTATAGTGCTGTCTGCATGTCAGATAGAGAAAGGGATGATAATTCAGTGTTATTGTTCACTGACTTTCAACAAAATCAGATCGTGATGATACGTTTTAGATGACTGCCTGATAAAATGTATGAGAAAAGTATTTAGTGTAGGCAAGGTTGCCACTCTGGAAGAAGTCCTCCTCATTAATTATACTCAAATATGTTCAAAAGATAATGGTAATATTTAGGTTTATTTTTATAGCAGTTTTGACAAATAAAATTGAGTGTTTTATATAATGTCAAACATAAAAATGTGATGAACATTGACAGTTCTGACCAAATAGCAGAGAAAACTGATAAAATCCTTGCACATACAGAGATATGCTTATAAATATATTGCATTTATTTGGGTGGGAAACTGATGTGAAAAATCTGTGTTAGAGAAAATAAGTTTTTATTGTTGTTTAAACATTTGCAGCAAATTCACATTTCCAGAAAATAAAATATCTCAGGTAATATCTACTCTGATGTACTGCAATATCAATATTATATGAATATGTAGTATTGTGTGTTTCTATTGCTACTCCATTTATGTCCACAATGTTTTCCCCTCTTCCTCTCTAAACATCAGTGACACAGCACAGTGCTAATGTGTGAACGATGCCTTGTATAACCCATGGACTGAGGGAGGAGGATGATTAGTGTTGATCAGTGATGATGAGATGAGGGAGGAGATGAGCACTGGCTGTGACTGCAGTCAACAAGCCAGTCAGTCAGTCGGCCGGTACGTTAGTGGCAGAACAGATGCCTGTATTGGGTTAGTGTTATTCCACAATCATCATCAATTCCTCCTCGATCACCTCCTGATTTCCAGCTCTGTGATTAAGAGCCAGGCCCATCTGGTGTGGAGACAGGAAATCCTGGAGCCTGCATCTGCTGGCTGAGCTTACAAAACTGGGGGGGTGGGGGGGTAAACTCTGATAATCCAACATAACCCCTGGAATGCAGAGACCACATTGCACATCAAAACCGTCATTTTCTCTGGACAGTGTCTTCAGGAACATAGATACACAGAAGTCAGCCCTGGACTCTCTCCTCCTTCTCTGGCCCGCTCTAAACATCCTCACAATTTATAACCAGTACCTCTGGAATTTTGCAATTAGAGCATGAATTAGATATACGGCTCTGCAGAGAGTATGTTACATGGAGAAACCAACAAAGCAATTGCACATTCCAATTTAAATGCTTTTCTGATGAGACTTTAGGGGCCAGAGACATGAGGGGAAATGCAATATTTATCCTCTTAAATTTTCTTTTTGTTTGTCCTTAATGACCTACAGCTACATAACTGTTAGACCACATTGGAGATGTGCTAATGGAGCTCCAGCCAGAGCAGAAGTGGGCCCTGCTGGTGCCATATGACAAATCGGCATGCTGCTCTCGCCTACAATCCGCCCACTGACCACCTCCAAATCTATCAGGAGGATTAGCTCACGCAGCTAAACCAAACAGACTGCTCAGTGTTCAGACAGCATTTGGTCCAAATCTTGTTCATGCCTCCTGTTTTGATGGCTAGCAGATCACAATCGGTGCCGCTAGCAGTTCACTTGCAACTGGTGCTGTGCCAAGTTGTTGTACAGTCCTGTGTGTGGCTGCGGGAAAAGGAAAATGAATGTGTTAGGGATTTACACAACCCCCTTGCTCTTTGGGATACGCACAATTTATTTTAGGATTAGGTTGATTTAGATTAACTTTGAGTTCTGTGCTGAGGTGAGAAGATGGCAAAACGGACACACAGAGCTCAATAGTGGAAAAACAGTTTGCGTTACCGTCCTGCTTTATATATTTTTGTGTGTGTGGGCAGGTGTGTAACTCAACATTTTGAGGCCTCTGTCAGACTCCACACACTCTCAGAAAGGACTCATCCTCAGTTGGAGTCTGTTCCGTACGCCTGTGATTGGAG